CAGCTCTTCTTTCATTTCGTTGCAGATAGTTATGTTCAAGCAATAGTCAATGTAATGTTCCTGCTATTGTCATTATAATCACGCACGTCACAAGTTCATTTCACCATGAGTTTTCTAAAAGAGCACAGCCTTTGTTTTTATTTTGTTCATGTAATCAATGTTGCCTCATTCTTATGTGCTCTGTATTATTCTTGAGGACACTTCTACGGCAACTATCCTGGACTGAGAGGCTCATGGGCTATATGTGAATCCTGAAGACAGGTGTATCCAATAAGCTGTGTGAAGTTGATTAGGTCCACACTGAATTGGCTACACTACAAATATTCAAGCGCAAGGATAGTTTCTTTATTTAAATCAAATGGATTTCTAAATGCGTTGATGGAGAGAAAAAAAGTGTAATGTTGATTGCGTGAACACACTTGAAACGCAAACCTGAGATGAATGCTAATAAAGGCATGTCCTTTACAAAAAGAACAATAACAGTATAACCTAATATTGCCGAACGCGCGTTTAGTGCTGGCGGTAGAAGAATATGGTCGTGTTAACAGTGCTTTGTAGATCATGCCACTTTAATAGTATCCAGCAAGAAAGACCGTGCAAGAATTGATATTTAATCCAACGAAAGCAATTTCCAAAGATAATTGCGAACATGTTTCAATACATATTCATGTAAAACATTTTTTTTTTTTTTACGAGAGACCGATTTACATGCTTATATTGATTGAGGGGATGACCTGCTATTCAAAATGTTATTTGAGAACTATCAAAATGCGTAAAATTGCAAATTGCCAGGCTTGAATCTGAATTAATACCTCATTCATCATCATTATGGGCTGATAAGATAATTTAACAATTTCATTCCGTCTTAATGAGCTATAGCTAAATTAATGTCATGTAATATATGAAAGTAACATTTGAACAGAAGCGTTCATTTGAGACAAACAGGGGTGGAGACTATTTTTCTTCAGTAGCCTAATAATCGCATAAATCTCCCCGTCAGACCACGCTCTGTTCGAATACCATTTGTGGAGTTTTGGCGTACTGGCAGATGTGCCAACATAAATCGGAGGACAAATGTAGTCCATAGATTAGCCCTAAACACTATTATTGGCAATATTGCGGTAAACAATTGTGTCTTTTTGAAAGCCATGATTGGCCTACAATTATACATTTAACCTGCATGGCAAATATTACATTTTAGTCATTTAGAGCGACTTACAGTTAGTGAGTGCAAACATTTTTCATACTGGCCCCCCCGTGGGAAACGAACCCACAACCCTGGCGTTGCAAACGCCATGCTCTACCAACTGAGCTACAAATATGGCGACATCTGGCACGTCATTAGACTGTTTACAGCATCAGACTGAAATAAGAACAACATGATGACAGAGAAGGCTCTCCAAAATCGGATTAAATCAAGTTGACAAGTGTATGTTTATGTGAGGTCATGTTTGTATATGAGTTGGACGCCAAAATGCAAAATGATAACAAAATGTCGATTTTCTGTTATTTAGATAGGTCTGTATTACTATGGTTATAGACGTCTATATAACCACGCTATGATAACCAAATTATTATCAGAAGTCTCAGTACTGATGCTGGAGGCAATATAACACCCTATTCAATAACTTCAGCAAAAAGCTGTTTAAACAATTTCCAAATCAATAGATGGAGCAGTTTTGTCCGTTTCTTATTTTGTATCTCCACCTTAACGGTGGAGTGTTTTGGCCCCACTTACTCGCTGTAGTTTAGGTTTTTAGTCCTCCCGCAGCAGCTGTCACCCTGCATTACTCGCAGTCAGCTAAATGAAACATTATTCTAAACATATGCGTCGTAATCAGGTCGGTCACACTTACAAGAACACCCGTTAATAAGGCAATCAATCACTCTGGAACAAGCGAGTTTGTTCTGTAACAGATCATAAACAGTGTGTAATGAAGAATTGGAGGTTAGCATGACGCGCTGATCAGATAGTCAATGTAAAAAAAAAAAATGCGATGAATTTCAGTAAATGTAGTTTTCATGTCTTTTCTATAAAATCTTCAATTTACAACAAGCAGTTCGATTACCCAGAAAATACAGTCAATTAGATAGGGGTGGTTGGACAGTAGTGGCAGGAACATCAGACTTTGTATTTCTATCACTGGTGGACATTTAATTAATGTTTTAATTATTGTTTTTCTATTAGCACCGAAAGAAATAAAATATACAATATATTAAAAAACCCTCAGATTCATTTTCTTGTCAAAATCAATTCGGTGGAAGGTGACAGACAGTTTTCTGCATTTTATGAGGAATTATTTTTTTCAGTCTGCACATTGGATACAAAACTGATCGTGTTATTGTGGGCAATGTTTTTTTCCTCTGTCTTTTCCTGATTGCACCTCCATCTAACTCAATGCGTTTGTTGTATGGTTTGGAACCCTCGTCCTGGGAAACATGGCGATATATCACGCCCAAATCTGCAGCCTTAATCCTATTTCTTTAATGGGGACGTTAAAAAAAAAGCAATTTATCTCAAAGTCCCTTTGGGGCACTCTGGTATATATTTAACCAACTGTAATTAATGACAGTATCAGCTTGTATTATTTAGAGGTAATGTCAAAATAATGGTACATTTTAGGGTCAGAATGACCTGTGATAGCAGTCTTCATATTCCCAATAGTTTTCTGCGTCGTTTTAATTAATACCAGACAGACTTTCCGCAGAGAAATAGTGTCAGTGTACCCAAGTAGCCGACCCGGTATGACCCTGCTTCATATACGCTACAGATAGAGTTTCCCTATTGATAAAAAATGTAAATACATAAAGTGCATAATAGACTTAATATGAATATTTCTTATTTCAATGCAAACATATTGCACCAAATGGAAATACATAATATCCATAACCAATGATGATGCTAGTATTACCAATGATGATCTCACTTTTGTCATGCCTCTTCAAACCTGTGATGTTGACAGTAATGTCTACATGTATTCACATTATGTATAATCAATATCTGAACAAAGATAAGAAATTGTTTGACGATTTTTTAAATATTTATTTCCCAAGAACAAACATCATCGATAAATAACATGATTTACATTTGATATTGCACATTTTTCTCAAGTTAAAATATGTAAATTCATACAGTTGGTAATATTTTAAATACAGATATATATTGTACAGATCCATGTATCTCAGAGACCCTGGGGACATGGGGCAATACACTAGTATTTCATTATTTATATCCTTTAAACAGGTTTCAGTTGTCGTTTATCAGCCCTTGGAAGCCTTTTTTTCAATGTAGTACAAAATGTACTCTCACCTTTTACATGTATGGCCCTTCTAACATGTATTCTGCATGACTTAAGACTTATTTGGTTTGTAGTTACCATAGAACCATGTGTACTTTACAATAGCGTTGATGGTGATATAAGCGTGTATGATCTCCAGTGTATACGATTTAAATTGAATAAACATTCAACAAGTCACATACATTATTAAAAATATATATATATTAAGAAATGTAATTTACACGTCATGGGTCATTTTCTAATCCACAGCGGTCAATATTTTGGTTTAAAACTATTTTAACGAAATGTATGCTGAGTGAAGGAGGCCCTATTGGGAGAGGATGGAAATACCGGTTCATATTGAATGAGGTTGCTCCATAATAATAATAATAATAGCCATTTAGCAGACGCTTTTATCCAAAGCGACTTACAGACATATGTGTATACATTTTTACGTATGGGTGGTCCCGGGGATCGAACCCACTACCCTGGCGTTACAAGCGCCATGCTCTACCAATTGAGCTACAGAGGACCACATATAACATCAGCAATGTAAGAACGGAAATATAACAGGAAAAGTGTAAGGGCGTTCGTCCAACTTCTAACTGAAACGAACATTGGCTCTAAGGAGTATTATTATTTTTTAAAACCTTCACAGGTAAGGAACATCACATTTTAAACTGTACAATCTATGCACCAAGAACAATGTTGTATGTTCCAAGTCTTTTATCTGTCATGCTTAATGACTTCCCTTAGGGGGATAATTAGCACTTGACAGCGGTTCTCAGAACGAGGAACTTTCTTAGTTTTCTGCATTCAAAGGAGGTCCATGAAGGTACACGATTGGCAATTTTCGTCATAATCCCTCTATTCCTAACAGCATAATTGACAAGTTAGAAGCGGTGCAAAATTCTATGCACCTTACTTGAAGATAAGGAATATCCCTCGAGCTGTACCGATTTTACAAGAAGGTTCTTATACAGTAGTAGTTGTTGTGGCACATATTGTAAATATGATTCTCACCATAACCTACATTAATAACGAAACCACACGTAAAAATATTTCAAAGAGAAAAGTAATGCCCGACATTGATTTGATAAATGCAGATAACAAGACCAAATTGCTTACTTTTACAGGGCCTTAAGTTAATACCAAAATATAACTGGGAATTTTGAAAAATGTATCGTAGAATTAATGAAGATAATTGATGAAAATATATTGATATAAATGGATAAATCACGAATTTAGGATGTGGCTTGATTTAGATATTTGTGTGTTCATTGACATTGATTTGAAATTAAGAATCAAGAATAGAAAATGAAAATAACAATTGTTTTAATTAATGACGATCAATAAACATTTAGTTAGTCATTCAGTCGATGCACTAACGACCATTAGGACTAATTAATAACCAAGTACCGTGGGCCTATCACGGAATTAGATAGTCATTTCTAGGTTTTAAGGCACATTAATCCAGTTGTGAATGAAGAAAAATAAAGCATCATCACCACCGCACTAACAAAATAGTCCTTTAAATTTAGCACTTACCAATGTTAACACTTTTGGCTTCTTTGTTTTAAATGCTAATTATGCTAATTGTTTTGAAATTACATTTATTTGTCCCCCAAATATTGGAGTCGTAGATGTAGGCCTATGTATAAACTAATAGCAAAGCAGAAAACAGGAGGAACTGCACTTGATTTAGAAGTTCCGGTGATGAAGTTATCTGTTTAGTGAAGATTCCTCTCTTTCATCTGGTGATGGAACCGAGGTTTTGCTCAGGACAGCGGCAGAATACGGCAAAAATCCACTTTCGGATCTCTGCCCGGATGCGGTGCAGGTGAAGTCAGTGTTGCTACTTCTGGAGCCTAGCGCGCTGGCCGCCTGGCTGCTGTGACAACTGAGGCACGAGCATGGCCCAGTGGCGGATGGCGCGCCGACAGCAGCTGCACATGCTGCTGCCGCTGCTGCTGATGCTGCCGCAGAGCTATTGAGGCCTGCGGGTGACTGATAAAGTCCTGGGTGCCTGAAGCCACAGAGAAGCTCTGGTCGTGAGTAAGGATGGGAGAGTGCACGGAAAGTATCGAGAGGGCGAATGGAGGTAGCGAAAGGTGACGATGCAGCACCAGACGCGGCTGCGGCCGCGGCAGCTGCTGTGACACCAACATGCGGGTAATAGTGCAGAGGCATGTGGGAATGGAAAGGGTATGGTAGACTTCCGGTGGCTGCCGCGTGCGTCATCATGTAGGTGTAAAAGTTTGGATCTGCTGGATGGGGCCAAGACATCGCCAAACGTTGCCTCTTGTCCTTCATCCGCCTGTTCTGGAACCATACCTACAAACAGAGAATCATCATTCATGTTTACATTCGGACCTTATTAAATCCATCCACCTACTGCGTAAACATTGCTAATGCAAGTTTTATTAAAATTAAGAGTTTAAAACGAACAGGCCAATATATATATATATATATATGTATTTGTGAATAGTTATTTTTAGGGACTCTTAAACAAATCAGCAAGTTGAACAAATTAATTCCAAAGAAATGCCTCTTATAGTAACTTTTTAGATTAATTCATTCATTTTACATTCATTCATTCATTTCACATTCATTTATTCATTTCAGATTCATTCATTCATTTCAGATTCATTTATTCATTTCAGATGCACTCACTCATTCATTCATTCATTTCAGATTAATTTCTGGAATAGATTCGAGTAGACCATTGTCTTGCTCACATAGTGAATTATACCAAACGGATTCGTTTCTAGGTTTTCTCTCTCTCTGTGTGTGTGTGTGTGTGTGTGTGTGCGCGCGTGCGTGTGTGTTTCGATGCATGCATGTTGACCAGCGTGTGTTTTAGTGGTGTGTGTAATATAATTATATCCTATATATTCCTAACTATTTGTGGTGTAGCCTACGTAATGTATATATTACGCACGAATGTATGCATATAACAGAACATAGGCCTACCTTTATTGTAGTTTCAGGTAGATTCAGGGATGCAGCCAGTTCACATCTTCTTGGTCTTGAGACATAATTTTCCCTGTAAAACTCTTTCTCCAATCTTCCTATTTGTTCTCTGGTGAATGCAGTCCGGTACCTTCTCACCTGATCCGCATTTGACATGTTTGAACACATTCCATTGCCGTTAAAATTGGAAAGGGAGGATGAATTTGTGTTGGAGCCTCCAGAATTATTGTCAGAAAAACCTTTAGGAAAGAAATATGCAAAGATTATTCGATAATCTCATGTAAGCTTTATAGGCAATGTTGCTGTGTATATTGGCTATTATATATTCTTATGATATCACATGAGATGATACCTATAGGCTAAATAATACATAATTTTTGTAGCAATAGCTGTGAAATATTTCAAAATCAAAGACACATTAATTCTTTATTCGTTTTTATTATTATTATTAGGCCTATTATTATTATTATTATTTATAAAATTGTTATTTTTATTATAATATTGGTATTGTTATCCGTTTTAAGATATCAAATACATTTATCTTTCATGTTTTATTTATATAATTACATTTGAGGTCCAAGTGAATATTACCTTTGTTGTTGTTGTTGTTTTTCCTTGTGTTGGCTCGGGGAGCGATGCGATGGGCATCCCACCTCCACGTCACTGTTCATGTCTGAGTCTTGAGAAACTTCAGAGTATAAGTGGATTGTCTTTCTGCTTTCTGATGATGAAATCTCCGCTGATGAGGTGTTCTCGCTGCTGTGGTGGGTACCGAAAAGACTGTCCATTTCGAACTTTCCTTTGGTTGGAATATCCCCGAGACTTCCATGAAGCGAGGCGGAAGTTATTCGCGGGCTTACTCGACCACTGTGCTGAGAATTTTCGAGGGCCTCCAACACTGAATTTCCAGCGGAGTCTGACAGGTTTGAGAGCCTTTTGCCAGACACGGGACCGTGCAGACCTCTCTCCATCAGAACCATCTCTTTTCTTCTCCTCTCCATCATTAAGCCTTGTAGAAGAAAAAAACAAAACAATTCCCAGGTCTGGTGCTCCGATGAGTTGTGACCGAGCTAATCCGCATTCAGATCAGCAACTGTCTCTAAATAATATAACAGCTTTTTATGAGAGAGACATAAAAATAAATAGAATGCCAATGCGAGCAACGAATGACGGTTCTAAATGTCTCGTGAATCCTTTTTTAGCCCAAAATGTAAAGGTGCGCGTGACGCTGCTCGAATGATCATATATTGTAACAGGTGTATAAGCAAATAAACACGAGATGGCTTTCAGTTGATGATGGAGGCGGCCTACGGTCAGACGAATGTATATCCAAGTGGAGCGGAAGAGGAGAAGTGAGGAGTGGAGTGTGTGTCCCCGGATTGATCTGAGTCTGCTTTAGATTGCTCTTGGGTTTGGCCTCGGGTGAAATTGACAGTCTGATTAATAAACATTTCCCGCTTCTTTTAGGAATATCATTATGCTTTGATTCTCTATTGTTTTCCCCTTCCGTTCTCTCTTCCCTTCCGTCTGTTTCTATTTTATCCATCGATCATTTCACCGAGGCATTTTCCAATGATACATTATTACTGAAATAGGTATTTAGTGAGATCCATTTAACAGCATTAAAACAGCATTTAACAACATTCTTATGATAATTTGAAGTTGTCTTTAGCATTTTTGTCATGTTTGTGTTCTACACTGCACACTCGTAAAACACATTTTGAGAGCATCATTATATTATATCTATAATTTAAACCATTTATGTCAGATACAGTATGGTGTAACCAATGCCATAATAATGCTTGTGATGTTGGCAGTTTCGGTTATTATTAGTAGCCAATTATCTCCATTGCTTCTAGAACAGTACTGGGATTTAGAATGAATAACAATGAATAAGAAATTATACCTAGCGAATACTTTTTCCACTTTCTTTTTACATTTTCAAGCCTGGAATAATGATGTTTAATTGAGCTCAATCAAACTCCTCCTGATGAAATAGGACCTATTTTTACACAGGTTTGAAGTTGTATTATAATCAGACCTGTATTGTATATGATTTAGAACTATACTACCGGTATCTCAAATGTATAGGTTACACAGGTTGCAATCACCTTGTTTTTTTCTGTTATCAAATATTGTGATATTAATATTGTGATGAGTTAGTAGCATGTCTCCCGATGTGTTGCTTCTACGTCGTTTAGGCATAATGAACTATAAGGTCTATTGTAATATTGTTTGGAACACTCGATTTAATATTTATAATACAGCGAGGTAATGTCAGATTTAGAGGGAGAATGGCTTCTAATGGTAAGGTTTACGGTGAATGCATCGTGTATTCGGTGGCAGAATGTAACACACTGGCGAGGAACGTCGTGTATGCGTCCTTTGGCGCCCCCAAGAGTTTCCCTGGTTTATCACAATGCCTGAGCGTTGAGATGTTTCATTTTCTGTGAGTCGGAAGGCCATCCTGTGATGAACAATACTATATCTATATAGCCTGAAGTTTATGTGATCTCTCATCACTGCTAAAATCATCTAGCCTATTGGTCTCAGAGCATTTCATATTATTCTGTACGTAAATCCGAGACACTCCATTTAGTATGATATGTTACGTTTCGTATGGTATGTATTAATTTGTGGATGTCCATCACCCATTTCGTATCATATGTTACGAATTTGCAAAACATACAATATGTTACGAATTTGCAAAACATACAATATGTTTGCAAATTTGCCAAACATATGATGTGTTAGGAATTCTAGCTATGTGGCTAACGTTAGCTAGCTTGCTAACATTAGCTAGGCTAAGGGTTAGGGTTAAGTTTAGGAGTTAGGTTAAAGGGTTAAGGTTAGGGAAAGGGCTAGCTAAAAGGGTTAAGGTTAGGGTTAGGGGAAGGGTTAGCTAACATGCTAAGTAATTGCAAAGTAGCTAAAAAGTAGTAAGTAGTTGAAAAGTTGCTAATTAGCTAAAATTTGCCGTGATGAGATTCGAACTCACAACCTTTGGGTTGCTAGAGGATCACGTTAAGGGCTTTATTACAGAATAAAAACTCCTCAGCGTTTGCTTGCCAGCTATGCCTATTGTAGCGACCACAGTAACTTCTTCAGACAGACAACTTTACTAGGACGAGTTTAGATTCAAATATAGGCTTCCCACTGGGCAAAAACTGGTTGAATCAATGTTGTTTCCACGTCATTTCAACCAAACAAATCAATGTGATGAAGTTGAATCAACGTGGAAAACTGATTGGATTTGCAAAAAGTCATCAAGGGCATTTCGTCTTTTAAGCTAAATCCAATGACATGGTGAAATGTTTTGTTGATTTCATGTTGAATTCACGTTAGTTGAAAACTAGATGCTGAACTGATGTCTGTGCCCAGTGGGTACTTGCTGATGTCAAGCTCTTTCCAAAAGCCTTCTCTGATGAAGCAAGCTAATTGACACAAGTTGTTTGCTTAGCTACCCTCACATAGCCTATCTGAAATTAGATGATGTTTAGCCTACTGACCATGAAAAGCATGCAGTTACTTGCTGTATAACTATGATGTAGAGCAAGAAAATGTAAATGCTCTTCAAGAGGTGATCATATTACAACCAAATAGTTGTAACATTGATTTGACAATCCCTTGAGAATGGGATGCAGTTGTCAACGGTTTTAGTGTAGCTGGAGGTCTCCTTGCCCCCCAGAGAGTAGGGTGTGATTGCGGCCCACTATTTGGGCATTCCTGCATCTGTAGGAACCCCTCTTTATACTTCTATTGGTCCATTTTTAAGCTAGGACTCCGGTAAACAGGCGGGAGCGACACTCCAGTCCAGTTAGTGGCGGTAATGCACCTTCAAAGTTGGTTTGCCAACTGCCATATAAAATCCACAGAAGAAGAATACACCCCCCCCCCCCCCCCCCCCCCCCGCAGAGCACTGCTTTCCCGCAGTTTTGTTAATGACGGCGACGGCAGGTGCGCGGCAGGCGGAGGCGAAGGACACTGTGTGCTAGGTAACTAGCTAGCTAGGACTACGTTACACAGGCGGGAGGCAGGGGCGAAACTGGTAGCTAGCTAGCTACAGTAGGACACCGGTAGACAGTGTCCTTCGCCCCCCCCGGCCTGGCGAGGGCTTCTGTGTCCCGAGGATCCCGGATAGCAAGGACCGGCAAGGGTGTCTGTGTGCCGAGGATCCCGGATAGCAAGGACCGGCAAGGGCGTCTGTGTCCCGAGGATCCCAGATAGCAAAGGACTGGCAAGGGCGTCTGTGTCCCGAGGATCCCGGATAGCAAGGACCGGCAAGGGCGTCTGTGTCCCAAGGATCCCGGATAGCAAAGGACCGGCAAGGGCGTCTGTGTCCCGAGGATGCCGGATAGCAAGGACCGGCAAGGGCGTCTGTGTCCCGAGGATGCCGGATAGCAAAGGACTGGCAAGGGCGTCTGTGTCCCGAGGATCCCGGATAGCAAGGACCGTTTATTTATTACATCACTTCACAGCGTTCATGAGGAGAGGAGCGGGTATATCTGTTACATCTACTATCTAACACATCAACAGATTACAATTTCAAGCTAAAACATTGCACATTAATTATACTACAATGATGGCATAGCCTAAACAAAAAACTTTGATAAAACTTTTATTTTATTTCCTTTTTGACCCATATTTTATTTGCATATACAATCAGGGGAAGATGCAGGAACGGCCGAATTGTGGGCCACTATCACACACGCTATCACACACGCTATCACACACGCTATCACACACGCTATCACACACGTTATCACACACGCTATCACACACTATTGCCCCCAGAAAGCAAATCGAACAATCTGCACTATAGCTCCACTATTTAAGTTGCGTTGCTTTGCCATAGTATTACAAAGAAAATAAGAATCAATTAAATGTTTTTTTGTTTGTTTTTTACAGGACAAATCTGAAAGGGGCACGTGCCCCTGTGCCCCGTATTGGCATGATGCCTCTGAATGTGACGTTGTACCTGCTACACAGTGCATTATGTTTTGAGAGCAGAGAGGAGCACAGGGGAAGAGTGCCTCTATTCTGTTTTTTCTACTGTACTGTACCATATTTGTCGATGACATGTAAGTACAATAGCTTTGGTCCAGTTTTTCGCGAGTACTCATTAAATTGTTGCTAAATTATCCTCTAATTCAGGGATCATCAACTAGATTCGGCCGCGGGCTGATTTTTTTCTTGAGCGGATGGTCAGGGGGCCGGAACATAATTACAAATAATTTGTAGACTGCAAATTGACTTCGAGAAGCCCAAACAGATATAACCTTTGACTAAAACATAATCATTTCAAACCTTCCTTACATTTGTATACGATCACATATATCTCCCTATTATGCGTGGGAATACTTTGGAACAGATTTCCAAAATTAAAATCACTTGGAGCTGATTTTCCTGGTGTTTTTACAAACTTTTGTCCAAAAAAAGAAAAAGAAATTGGCTCAGAAAACGGGGGACCTTGCTCTAATCACACAAGTTTATTTTGTTTACATTGTGAACATAGTCAATGTAGCTAGCTAGCTAGTATAATAACCAGTGGTGTAGAGTCTAGGCAATATGCAACCAAAATCAACTTCATTTCAAGTCACAAGACAGAATGAATGCGCGAATCAGCCATCGAGAATTGAAACTCGGCAAATCTTCAGCGTGGACGCTGCCATTGGATGTGACGCAACACAGGCAGTATAGCAGCTTTTTCATTGATTTCAAAGGAAGCATTTCCTCTGGCTGATGGCAATGCCGGACGCCCGATGGCGTATACACTTGTTGTATTTGGCGCATGTGACAAATAACATTACATTTTTTTATTTGATACAATACCTACTTTTTATTTTATTTGATACAATACCTACTTTTTTGGCCATGAACTCACATGCATACGGAATCTGTAATAGCCTACATAACATCTAGCTAATAGACCTACATATGCACCTTTGGATGGAGTTTGGTATAATTGAGAAAGGAAGGGGAGATATAAGGGTTGAGAGAA